ATCAACTAACAATGTTGTAAAGATGCAGAAAATGTCAAACAAACACTTTTACATTTCTTATTAATTAAATAATGAAACTGTTAACATGCCTAAGAATTGAATCTGAGGAAATGTGAAAAAACAGCATAACTTCTAAAATAATGGCCCGATTATGCTAATTTTCAAACTCAACCTGCATTTTAGTAAGATTGACCACTCCTGTGAGTTTAAATGACAATTGGCCTATCTGTTTTTATTCTTATATTGTGTTTACAGTGTTGCATATATGCTAAAAAGTGAAAAAACAGCATAACTACTAAAATAGTGGCCCGATCATGCCAATTTTTGAACTTGACCTGCATTTTAGTAAGATTGATTGCTCCTGTGTGTTTCATGACAACAGGCCTATCGGTTTTCCTTGAAATGTGTTAATAGCGTTGTATATATGCTGAAAAGTGAAAAAAACAGCATAACTTCTACAATAATGGCTCGATCATGCTGATTTTCGAACTTGACCTGCGTTTTATGAATATTCATCAGCTCTGTAAATATAAAGCCAAAAATGAAAACTGTCTTCCACTTATCGTGTTAACACTGAAAGTGCACGGCGCCGGCATCGGCGACAGCATCGGCGACGGCATCGGCATCGGCGACGACGGCGACGACAGACGCAGGTGATGGCAATATGTACAGACACATCTGTGTCTGTACATAAAAAAGTAAAAATTTTTGTTAATATTTTTATTATTCAAACCAATGGGCAACCAATGTACTAAGAGTCAAAAGACACATGTTCTCAGTCTTCCATACCATAAAATATTTGAAGTCCTGAAGAATTTTGTCACACTGTTCTTCTGTAAGAACAGGAACATTGAGAAGGAATCCATCTCGCCAATACTGGCTAACCTGCTCTGGTGTTAATTTGTAGCTGCTCCATTCTGCTTTATCCTAAAACAAAATATCATTGATCATTGATGTATTTCCCTTTGAATTTCAATAATATAATAATGTCAGTATTTATATATTTTATTACTAGAATTTAAACTACACAGTATTGGTAGTCTTTTCAATAAATGAAAGTGCACCAAACTGCCTAGCTATTATCATCCAGTATAAAATGTTTTCTTCTATATAAAGATATTCATTATAGAAATATTCTGGGTACAGTAAAAATATCAGTCAATCAAATTTACAAATATTGCAACACATTCGTGTTGTTATTTACCAATATGTATTACCTTAACGGGTGGGAAGAGGTCTCCTGAAGGCTGGTGTAGTGTTGACCAGTCAGGGACACCAGGTTTAAAATCTCTGGGTTTCAATACAGCAGGTGCCGACATTGTCAACTGTGTTATATCACACTGATAGTAAAGCCCTGGAGCACCCAAAAGCTTCCCATAAATGTAGGTCAAACTGCACAAGAAGTGGGGCACGAACCTAGGCCAAGGCAAAGATATCTTGAACTCGGAGCAATTTACATGAACGTCAGAAAGTGACGTTTTCTGGGACGGTGTTTGTTCATTCGTTTAGCATCAGCTGTGATAGCACAGTTCAGTACAGGCTGTATGTCTTAGCATACACTTATCTCCCATGATAACGCTTGTCTGTCTCTTATCTGGAAATGATGAGTTGTTCCTTAGCACCCGCAGAGAAAGCTGTACATCCACCATTTTGAACTGTCACATGATATATCACGTGACAGTTTGGCTGTTTATTTTTCTTCCCTGTTTTCACCTTTCAAGTTTTTTTCCTCATTATTTGAATATCCCTAATTTTTATTCCACTGGAATTAAAATTGGTATACAATTTCATACACTTAATTGCATCGAACAATTTATTTGCTTTGAATTAGTTTAATTCACTGTTTTGACTACGCTATTGTCTCACCTGTATTCAGGGGGGTGTATCGGAACAGCGGCGACTGAGCAGCTTCCATCTTGAAAACTTTGTTGATTGAAAGCTTCGTTGCTGAAATCAGTGTTCTAAAGCAGGTTGCAGAGTGATGCTAAATAATTAAGAAGAAGGGATGGAAAATTTTTTGTAAGGTAGGATTTTTATTCAATTCCAACATAACTGCCCGATTTTCAATCGCATTCTAACTGAGTTAAGATTTAAACTTAGTCGCCGACTAAACGCACGCCATGATCAAACAAACGGCCCGACTCAAGTACAGTGCGTTGATATGTGACTTTGGACGGTGCGTCGTTTCATTAAGATTTCCACTTTTAAAACAGATAAATGTGGGTGTATTTGTGCTCAAATTCGGAAGGCCAATTC